GTCTAACCGCTAAGGCATGCAAAACATAAGAGTACGCCCCCTCCCCCCCCTCCCCCCACTCGAGGCCGATGGTCTAATGACAACGGCACATACGAACCCCCCTTTAGTGGTGAATGGTCTAAAGCAAGCACGAAGTCACCGCTTTTTCTTGCGGAGCCGTCGAGCTTTGAAAATCGTTCCAGGGGGTGTCGAATGTTACGTACCGTAGTTGCGAAAAGCTGTGGTTGGTTGGTAGTGCCCCAGGCAAGGGAGAGGCCCAAGACTCAAGGGTACCCACAAGGTATGTATTCCCAAAAGCAAGTCTGGCTGAAGAGCAAGTCTAAGCCTGCACGCAGACGAGAGCGTTTTTTATTCAGACTTCCGAGTTCCAGAAGTGTTGTTCGAGAATGAAACATACAATGTAGTACGTGGGTGCACGGCATTGGAGCGTGCGGTTGTCGTCCACTTGTTCACTGTCTACGAGAAAGCAGTTGGTTGCCGCCGACTTGCCCTCGAAACGGATCTTGAAAAACTATCCTCATGTTTAGCACTTCTACATTCTCAACAACGCGCACGCTACATACATCTCTGCACGAACACACAGCACCACCCCCTCTCCGCGATTGCACCATCGCATCAACCCCCCACGAGTGATGACATGCCTTTGCTGTTGCCGGTGGCCCTGATTGGGTTTTGGTCGCTTGTTATTGTGGCTTGTGTCTTAAATTATGATTTTGTATTTTTCCTACTCCGGAGCACTTTTTCTTTGTCTTCCTGCCTCTTTCTCTTCCATTTCTTTTTTCTGTTTTGTCCTTTTTCGTGTCTTCCCCGCGGGACCTTTTCTCTTTCTCTGTGCAGTATCAAGATTGACATCAGGGGATGCACCTCTCTCTCTGGCCGATGATGTTCGAATTTCAGTTCATTTCTGCCGCACATCGCTTGTGTGTAAAGGGGGTCGGAGAGCCCCAGATTGTCCGCCGTCGGTTTATGTTGGCTTGCGGACCATTCGAGTCCATTTTATTTTGAGTATAGCTTTTTTAGGCAAGCTAGTCTGTGACCACGGGAATCGATCGGTCAAGTCTTGATCAGTACGGAAAGATGAAGGTTCTGGGTAGAGAGAGATTGGAACTGTTTTTAATGTGAAGACAACATCAACATCAACAACA